AAAAAAAAAAGAAAGAAAGAAAGAAAACTGGCTGGGCACAGTGGTTCACGCCTGTAATCCCAGCACTTTGGGAGGCTGAGGCAGATAGATCACAAGGTCAGGAGATCAAGACCATCCTGGCCAACGTGATGAAACCCCGTCTCTACTAAAAATATAAAAATTAGCTGGGCGTGGTGGTGCACGCTTATAATCCCAGCTACTTGGGAGGCTGAGGCAGGATAATCGCTTGAACCAGGTAGTAGGAGGTTGCAGTGAGCCAAGATCGTGCCACTGCGCTTCAGCCTGGTGACGAAGTGAGACTCTATCTCAAAAAAAAAAGAAAAGAAAAGAAAACTGACGTTGGACTGGGTAAGGTGGCTCAAGCCTGTAATTCCAGCACTTTGGGAGGCTAAGACAGGGAGATGGCTTGAGCTCAGGATTCTGAGACCAGCCTGGGCAACACAGTGAAGCCCTACTTCAAAAAAAAAAAAAGAAAAGAAAAAGAAAATTAGCCAGGTAGTAAATGAGTATAGTCCTAGCCCTGGGGAGACTGAGGCTAGAGGATCACTTGAGTCCAGGAAGCAGAGGTTGCTGTCAGCTGAGACCATGCCACTGCATTCCAGCCTGGGTGTCAGAGTAAGACCCTGTCTCAAAAATAAATAAACAATTTTTTTTTTTTTAAATAAGGTTAAAAGCTTTATAGTTTTCCTTAAAGTCTTGAAGATTAGTGTGTACTACACAATGAGTAGTATTCAAACATGGAATGCTTTAACCATTGATAAGGTTTTCAACCTTGTGATAGAGTAGGTGAAAATTATAGTTACTTAAGCAAAGGGCGCTTACTCTCTTAATGTAACATTAAATGGAGACTAAATTATTTAATTTGCAGATAATTTTAGAACTCCATAAATAAGGTCCCAACTTGCAGCAGTCTTACTTCTTCAATGTGGACACTTCCTTTATCTCTCTTTTTTTATTTTTATTTTTTTTTTGGAGACAGAGTTTTACTCTTATTGCCCACGCTGGAATGCAACAGGATGATCTTGGCTCACCAAAACCTCCACCTCCCAGGTTCAAGTGATTCTCCTGCCTTAGCCTCCTGAGTAGCTGGGATTACGTAATAGGCATGCACCACCACTCCTGGCTAATTTTATATTTTTAGTAGAGGTGGGGTTTCTCCATGTTGGTCAGGCTGGTCTCAAACTCCCGACCTCGGGTGATCTGCCCACGTCAACCTCCCAAAGTGCTGGGATTATAGGCGTGAGCCACCTCAACCAGCCTTCCTTTATCTCTTAATCATACCTAACAAGTAAATGCTACCCAAATATTTCAGTTTTTGTCTATAACCTGGAAGCTTTCCTAACTAGGGTTCACAACATAGGATAAGGGATTACTATACCTTGAAGTAGTTTGTCAAGCTCTTTAGAGCCAGTAGTAATCTGTATGATCTCTGACCGCCTTTGGTGGAATTCAGTTGCAGTGGTGAAACCCATTGGAACTAATTTGGCTGCTTCAGCCTGGGAAAAATAAGAAATGTTAAATCAACAAAACAATATTCCTTACCAGAGTGATCTAAAGGGCTATAATATGTGTGTGTGTGTGTGTGTGTGTGTGTGTGTGTGTGTGTGTGTGTGTGTGTGTATATATATATATATATATATATATACACACTAGTAAAACAAGAATCAGGTATACAATGGGAAGAGAAAACATCTAACAAAAATACCAGGCCGAGTTCTATTTAGAAAATCATAGGCCAGGCGCGGTGGCTCACGCCTATAATTCCAGCACTTTGGGAGGCCGAGGTGGGTGGATCACGAGGTCAAGAGATCGAGACCATCCTGGTCAACATGGTGAAACCCCGTCTCTACTAAAACTACAAAAAATTAGCTGGGC